TCTGAGCGCCCACAGCTACCAACCCCCACAGACCCTAAATATAGCATACAAAGATTCCAGTATAGCGGTCTTCCTACCCCCCAATCTCGGCATCAGCTACTCGCACAGGATCAAACTTGTCGGCCACCAGTCGGCTTCCGCCCGGCTCGTTCGCCTGTGGAAGTCGTGGTTGAAGTGCGCGCATTCTTGACCAGCATCGATCAACTCCTCCCACCGCATTGATTTTGGGAAAAAACTTGTTGCGTTGGCTCTTGATAGTCACAGAGATCTATCCTTCGCGATAACACCTTTTAGCGGTTGTTCAGGCTGAAAATATTGATTCTAGAAAAAATACACGGTTGTGAGAAATGTGGTACATATGTTAGCAATGTGCTTGACCTCGAAATCTCGTCTATCAATTGGTGTTCTCGATGTATGCACACGATGATTTGTTTTATATTATCTGAGTATAGATGTTTGCTCACAAGATCATGGATTTGCGCTTCAGAGTTTGATGAGAACATGCCGCTTCATCCGTCTTAGTAATTTTTTGAAATCTGCGATCTGCTTACTAGGCCATGCATTGTGATATTCGTGCCGCGATGCCCGTTTCTATCTTGGATGTATCTTCCAGACCATTTGCTCCCGCAGTTAAGCATACCATGACAACCTTTCTATATATCGAACCCATCGTACTACAGCATGTTAGTGATTGCTGCCTACTTCGGATTGAACTACTTGCCCGTCCAATTTTGCTGCCAAGCTTTGAATTGTCTTTTTGATCTCCTCTGGTGAAGCATGTTCGGAGCCTTTGAGCAGCACATCCAGGGGTTTCCAGAGACCTATCTCGATAAGGACGCATCCAAGACTGTAAAGATCGTAGAATCTTCGATATACCACTTTTGGATCTCGTAGTTTCGCGGGATGCTGGTAAATGTCAAGGGTAATATTCTCAGCCAGTTTTGCGATATCTCGAGAACCTATGACATAGTAATTGTCTTCACGAGGTTTGAGATCAGATCTTGCTCTGTTGAATCCTACAAAAACTGGATCATCAAAATGGAGAGACGGCGGAGACTTCGTTGTTGGTCCTATTTTGCCATTCGCGTATTTCTCAGGAGATGGGAAGAACAGAATAACTTCTGAACGAATATTCCTGTAGCGGATGAAGGGTTAGTAAGTATCAAATAGTTGTGTTGAGTTGACTTGCTTGTGTATCCATCCGCAAGAATGCATAGAATGCACTGCATCTACAAGCATCTTTGCAATTCGAAAACGAATACCGAGATCCAGAACATCCTGATAGAGTGGATGACGTTTTTTGATCACGTCCCGTAGAGTTACGGGCATTCTTTGGCCCGATATGGCACCGGGTGGGAGAAGTCGTGGAAGCCCACCGCGTATGTGTTCTGGCGGCCTTAAAATGACACCAAACCGCTCATTCAGGTGGTCATCTACGACCCCATAGCAGCCGGGTAGTAGCATGGTTCCAGGCTTAGGCGTCGAGAGCATAAGAGCTAAGCTGTCACGCTCTTTCTTTTGGTCCGGATGTCCAAAGTTCTGGATCCATTCTATCAAAACAACCCTTTTGTCCCCTTTGATCGGATAATCGAACAAGATGGCCATGGTAGATCGAGACTGCGCAGAGAGCTCGTATTGAGGAGCCATGTACAGCTCCTCAATCTTGAACCGGTATATGGGCTTCGCTTCCTCATATTTCAGTACCGAGGTGAACTTAGCCGCTAATGCGAGCTCTTCATACCTCTTGGCCTCGGGGACACCTGGCGCATGCTGTGATTCATACATGAACGCCTTGAACTGTCGACGAAGTTCATCTTTTAGTAGCTTGCCAACATCGTCGATACCTCCTTTTATCATTCGTTGCAATTCAAATGGTGGACCATAGAGCCGTAAGTTTTCGTTGTACTCCCGTAAAAGATTTATCAAAGACTCCCATTTCTGGTCTGATTTTCGAAGAACAAAACGACATTTTGATATAAATGAGAAATTAGATCGACATCTTTCGCGAAATCCGCGTAGCGCATCTTCGGTAAGGTCTTGAAATTCTTTGAAGCGATACGTTGAAACTTCTTTATCATCCTGTTCGAGTCAACATCGCTTGTGCCGCATTTCTACATAGATAGGCCAAGCCCTACCTGCCGTGGTGCTAGTTCTATCTTGAACCCGTATTTCTTCTCTAGCGCTCGCACGTCATAGAAGGCCTGTGACATCAACGCAAGCTGGCGAAGGCATCTACGTGCAGCTGTTTGGTTTTCCTTCGCGTAAGCCTCGAATTTTGCATCGAATTTCCCGGAATCGTCCTGCCATATTTCTCGCCATTGATCAAATCGCTGTGAGAGTTGTTAGATCAGTATACACTCGAATAGCTTCACCATTCGGATCGCTCACATCGCGTTGCGCCTCTACTCGTCCGACCGCCAATTCGGCTGTATTGTTTGCATCCAGGACATCTCGAATGAGACTGAATCCGTCTTGCGATAGGTTAGTGATTGATGATACCAGCATCGGCAGCTACTTTACCCCGACATAAAGGCAACAATCCCAAAACGCTTGCCACAATCCCGAAAGTTTCCGCCATTCACGCAGTTACTCTTCGTGACGACGAAGACCTTTGGTGAGGTATTGTAGAGAAGAGAGGCGTGGAGAAGATTAGGGCTCACGCGACAGAATCTTGAGACATTTATACCAAATCGAATTGATTGAAAGACCTGCAGCTAGTGGTAAACGAGACTAGACTACGCTGTCTAATTGGCTTCCATCCCGATGTCGAGGTTGTGAGACATGACAATTTTGGCCCCCAAACGCAACTTCGTGGATGCTGCTGAGTTGGCATCGAAGAGCGCCACCTGAAGCTCTTTTCCTGCCATAGGACTGGATGATGCAGAATCCTGTTCGTCTTCTCCACACATCACAGGAAGACAACCCAAACAGGCGGCCACAAACTAGCGCTGCCATTGGCGTGACCGCATCGGAATGTCAAGCGGCAAGCTGCAGCTGCAACATTATTGAACCCTTCTTCGATTTATGACTTTATATGGCATCAGGAAGCTTTTGCTCAATGTCCATCATCCACGCAATTTCGTCACACAGCTCTTTCGCCTGTGTCTCTGTCAGAGCAGCCATTGGCTGACGCGGAACTCCTCCATATCCATGGAAATGCTGTAGAATCGCCTTGAATCCAGGAACAGCGCGCTTTGTCAATGACCAATCAGCCTCAGCCAATTGTTGTTGCGATCTCATGGCTTCTTCGTGCTGGCCGCGAACGGCCAAGTTGTAGACGTTGACACAAGTTCGCGGGAAGACGTTTGCAGCTCCTACGATTGCACCACTTCCTCCAACTCCAACCATTGGAACAATGAAGTCGGCAATGCCAGCGAAGGCATAATATTCTCTTTTGGCTTTATTTGAATCCTGAGCTGAGAAGACGTCAGACACTGTGTTTGTCGCTCCCGCTACGCGAGCGAGCTTTCCAACATTCCCGCAGGTGAACTTGGTGCCCACAATATTCGGGTGTTCAGCCAAACGTATCAACAAGTCCGAGTCAATATCAATCCCTGCCACTGCCCCTGGGTAATTGTAGATGACTACCGGGACCGGACTTGCGTCGGCAACTTGAGTAAAATATCTCTCGATAGCTGCAGAGTCCATCGCCCACTTGAAAAAGCTCGGCACCATCAAAAGAACGGCATCTCCCCCTGCAGACGCAGCCTCCTGGCATAGGCGCAATGTGCCTCGAACGGACTGATCCGAGGCGCCAACGAGAATAGGAACTTTAGTATATCCAGCATGGTCAAGAGCCGCTCGTGTAACTCTCGTTACTGTGGCTCGTTCTTCAGGCGTTAGATAGACTGCCTCGCCATTTGAGCCATTTGTAACGATGCCGGCCGTGCCAGCCTTCACAAGACGAACTGCATGACGACCAATTGTAATTTCATCGAGATCTTCCGAGTCTGGTTGGAAGAAGACCTGTGTAGGAGCGTAAATGCCTGGTACAAGTGTTCTGGGCATCTTGAGGGATCGTGAGAGCTCGCAATGATAGCTCTAAAAGAAGGCTTTCTGGAGGAGATATTATCAGGTAGAGGGGGACAGGACAAGCACGAATTCCAAGAGATCTCACATCGTTATCCCACAATCCCTCTCCGCAGAGAGCTGGGAACGATCACAACAGTTGATCGAAGCCTCCGCTCATCGGCGTGGGCCCTAGGCCCCAAGATAGCTCGGGCATTGCATGTCAGGGACTTGTCCCTGCGTCACAGAATTTCGCGCCAGTGGTCACATGCCATACTTGGCATTGATTCAGGGGAGAAGCGGCAGGCGGCAACGATGACTTACAGAACACTTAGAGCATCATCTGGAAACCCACCCCACGTAGCGTCCCCACGAACCCGGGGAAAGGGGTTCTCCGCATTCAACAACACGCCCACAACGCGCCTTTGCCAGACAGGAGGTGGCGACTGGACGGCCTGTGTGCCTCGGAAGCGGGCGACGCCAAGGGACATGATGCGGACCCAGGCAGCGGGGGGAGACGGCACGGTCAGTCCGGATTCGGCATGGGGCACACGAGGGTGGGAGGTCTATGTGGACCCTTATCCGATGCAGCTCCACATGGTAGGCGGACGAATCGCGGCCATGGGACCCGGCTTAGCTAGTCTAACAGAGAAGCTGCGTTAGGGCCGTGATGTCGGATAGCGGAAGGGGAAAGTCGCCAGTCACATCTGACCAGTCTGTAGCATATCGAACTGAAGCCCGATTCTCCTCCGCTGTGGTGGGGGAATCTGGAGCAAACGGGGGTCCTTTGTGGATCACTAGCTAAAGAATTGGAGAGTTTGTCCTTTACAAGACCGGGGCAGGGCCATTTTGTCTCCGATGAAGTCGAGACCTACTTCTCTTCACGTTGCAACTTCTCGAACTTCATGTGATACCCCGAAGTTAACAGACTTATTACATTCTACTTCTCAATACATTCGCATTACAGAGCACGTACGCCGGACTCTGATACAATGGGCTCTCTTTCTGCGGTAGACGTCTCGGACGTCAAGATCCTAGGCTTTGTTGTCACGGACTTGCGATTTCCGACAAGTCTCGATGGTGTTGGATCCGATGCTATGCATGTTGGCACGAACGGGTCACATCCGTACATCCAGCTTAAGACGAACCATGCCGGTCTGACCGGTGAGGGTATCGTAAGTTGTCCTACTTTGCTGAATAATCTCCTTAGAAGCTGGTCTAATACGTTGTATTCTTCAGGCATTTAGCAATGGTCGCGGTAGCGAACTCGTCTGCATGGCCCTCGAAATCTTTGCGAAACGTGTTGTCGGCAAAACCATGCATGAGCTCACGCGCGACATGGGCAAGACATGGCGATATATGGTGTCAGATTCTCAGTACCGCTGGATCGGCCCCGAGAAGAGTGTCACGCATCTAGCCGTTGCTGGTGTGCTGAACGCGGTTTGGGACCTATGGGGAAAGATCCTGGGCAAGCCAGTCTGGCAAATTGTGTGCGATATGACTCCTGAGGAGATTGTGCGTTGTATCGACTTCCGCTACATTACAGATGTCATCACTCCTGAAGAAAGCATTGCGATGCTCAAGAAGACGCAAGCCGGCAAGGAGAACAGGTTGCGCGAAGCTTTTGAGAACTGCGCTGTCCCGGCATACACCACATCTCCAGGTTGGCTAGCATTCTCAGGCGATCGCATGAAGGAAGTCTTGCAGGAGACTATTGATCAGGGATATACAGTTTTCAAATTCAAAGTTGGAACAAGTATCGAGGCTGATCGCGCGCGTCTGTCCGCCGTGAGAGACGTATTGGGATATGAGAAGGGCTATCAAATCATGATCGATGCCAATCAGGTAAGTTGTCAGAGCTGACCTCTCGGACCTTTTCAAAGTACCTAACAAGCTTCTCAGGTGTGGAGTGTCCCGGAGGCTATTGAGTACATGAAGCACTTGGTGGAATTCAAGCCTGTCTTCATTGAGGGTCAGTCACCAACTAAGTAAATCGGAAGGGCGTGAAACTGACAGTCTCCTAGAGCCCACCAACCCTGACGATGTTCTGGGCCATGCTGCAATCCGCAAGGCACTCAAGCCGTATGGCGTTGGTGTTGCAACAGGTGAAGCTGCACAGAACCGAGTGACCTTCAAGCAGCTCCTCCAGGCTCAGGCCACAGATGTTGCCCAGATTGATGCAGTGAGGTTAGGAAGTGTCAACGAGTGCTTGGTAAGGAGTTAGAATGACCAATCAATCCGGACACAGCTAATCCTCTCTTCTCTTTTAGGCTGTCATGCTCATGGCTTTGAAGTTTGATATCCCCTGTGTTCCTCACAATGGAGCTATGGGTCTGACCGAGCTCACTTCCCACCTCAGTACCATTGATTATGTTGCGATCTCTGGCAGAAAATCCATGCTAGAGAACGCGGATAGCCATCGCGAGAATCTGCGACACCCTTCCAAGATCGTCAATGCCCATTATGTAACACCGCTTGCCCCAGGCTATTCAACAGGCTACACTGATGAGGCACTGGAGAAGTACACATATCCAAACGGAAGCTTTTGGAGCAGCGAGATCGGACAGCAGATCATTGCGCAGCCGACTGGTGGTGAACTATAGATCTAAACCCGGGATAGGAGTCTTTGTTTCTTTTGCATGTCTTGTAGAATAGATACAACGGCCTCAAGACTAGAGATTGCCCATGGCCTGATGTTATTAATAGCAATCGTCTGAAGTTCATCAATATCCGGCACAAGATGTCGAAGATCGGTAGACAGTGACGATAGTGTAAGAATAACAATAGCGCCGAGGGAGCTAGTAGATATATTAGCATCCAAAAATCGGGATTAGATTGCCTCGATGCACTCACGAGACTGAGAATGTCCAGGTGTAAGGGCTTGGCTTCCTCAATATCTGAGTTGTGTTGTGCACATAGAGCCTACACGTTTCTATGCACAGCGCAGCTTTCTCAATAATAGAAGCGGGAACACCAGTCCCGCCATGAGTGTTGATATAAAGAGCAAAAGGGCGATAGATGATATGTCTCGCAGCAAAGTATCGTATTCGTAGGACTGCTTCCCAATCGCTTGTGGCTGGTTCTGGCCCAAGTGACGGTCTGAAGGGCTCGGGAATAGACGAATACCACAGCTCAAGTTGTCTGTGAAGTTCATCACATACAGCCGTCATTGAAGATATTTCTTCTAATGTGATGTCGTCCGCGGTCATCAAGGTTGTCGAGGAGAGTGTTAAAACATGTTGTTTGCGAGGATAGAGTGAATTATGTATCCGATTGAGCAGCCTTCGAATGGATATCTCAGCCAAATAGCAGGTCGACTGCATGGGGTCTAAGTTGTTGCATGACGGTAAGCTCGTCTCGTCGGTCAGTTGCTGTAGTCCGCTTCGTGGTAGCTCTAACTCTGCAAGTCTGTCGCACTCCACGAGAAAGCACGACCAAAAGAGACGCAATACACTCTCGTGGGAGCCTAGTTCATCTTCTCGTGGTCCCAAACTAGAAATTTTATCAGTATTGTAGTCCCCATAGAAGCAAAAGGAACAAAAATCATACCCGGATAATTTGAATTGCAGTATAGTTGAGGCTGAATATATCAGTCTCCAACTTTGAAGAGGGCGGACAAGGTACGCGAAGTAGAGGCTTGCAAGCACCAAAGCTTGGGGGAGTAAGATGCTATAGGAAAATGACCAAGAAGATTGCGATATGAGAATTGGCATGGCGTATTGTATGAAGTCCATGCCTGGAGGTGATTCTTTGAAGTCTTGACCCTCCTCAAGCGGAGTGGTTGCGACGGCACCGAGCGCACATACGACAAGGCACAATGCCGTCTCTATGCTCGAATCGATACCACGCATTAGGAAATTCGCATAAATAGTTTGGAAAGTCTCTCGGTCAAGAATTGGATGCCAATGATGGGCCGTAGAAAAGAACGCTGAGACGAGATAGTCTGTAACTGTTTCATCGAGGTGAGGTGTTGGTGGTAGACCTGACCATTCTCCGAATGACAACGCTGATGGTAGCTGGTTTCGTGATTCTAAGAGAAAGAACAAGTCCCTTGGGTATTCTCCTATCAGGGCCTTCATTGCTGGAAGACTGAGGAGGTAACTCGAGGACGTCTTATGCTTGACTGGAATGGTCATTGGAGGCAGACTCTGGACTTGAGCCTGCACATCACCTGAGAGGAAAGGCCATGGGCCAAAAGGGATGCTGGCATTTGTAATGATGGTCGATATCCCATGGGCATTGGTGCTTGGGATAGATGCTTGACTTTGAGGTGATGTTCCCGCAATATTTATGGGAGACGGCCGGGTCTGTAGCTCGGATGAAATAGTAGCAATCGTATCAGCTTGCCCTTCAAGAATCATCTCGATGTCTCGAAGTCTGCCCAAGATCTCCCGAGTACCTCCCGATGTGTCGATACGCTGTGAGGGCGTATCGTCGTACACACACTCAACTTCTGCTTCAACGCAGTTCCGGCAGGTTGGTTTTGCGGCATCGCATCGACGCTTTCTTTAGGATGCATGAGTCAATGTGCTTTGTAGTTTGCTTACAGGAAAGTGTTCTCACCGGTGGCGGCAGTACGTGCACGCCAGCGCAACACGTCTTCGATTGAAGCTCATTCTCGCCCACTCCCGCTTAACAATCTAAATCGCGGTAGTCGATCAAAACCAATCTTCCGGGTCGCCGTGTTGCTGCCCCGGAGGGGAGTTTGTGCGGAGAAGTGGGCCAGCAAAATGAGACCTCCGCGTCATTGCGTTTTTTACGTCTCCTGACACGCGAAAAGCAGTTCCACGAAATCCAAAGGGGCTAATACGGATATGACTAATGACCAGGTAGGTGGTGGGTTCCCCTGACTCGGTCTCCCAGCAGATTTTAGAGGGCAGTAAGTACTGTAGATGCTACCGTAGCGCGAAATGGGTCCACAACTCCACGAGACGCCGTTAGCGTTTCGTACAGTCACAAACAGTTCTTTGGCAGGATCGCAAATAATGATTAACTTGATTGAACAGGTCTGATTATCTTGACTATGTACCTATTCTAGCATGGTAATTCGCAGGTTTACATGGTCGCGCTGCCGCTGTTATGATAGAATATACGAAGTTGGTGCTTAGCGCTTCCATTCCAGCCGGTGAATGGCATTCCAAGATTTGATTAAACCCGCTCAACATGGTCCTCTTCCGAGCCTTGCAGCTTTCCCTCGAGCACTTCCTGTCCAACCTTGGTGTTCTCTGCCTCAGTGATGCGCTGTGCTTCTGCCTCAATGAAATTTTGCGGCCGACCACGCTGAGTCATATCAGGCTTGCCGAAAACGAAGATCGATGGATTCTGGATGAAAATCTGGTCCATGTCCTCCAGAGTACGTCGCGATGTCTCAGGATACAAGCAGAAAACGACAGGGAAGTAAGCCCAGCAAATAACAGCGAAGACTATAAAGACACTCATCAGCACGCCGCGCTGGAACAAATGACGGGGAAAAGAGGGAGCTTACTGAGATAGAAACCCCAATGCAGGTTATTGACACCCACTTTAGTGAATTGTGTGACAATGAAGCCACCCATCCAGTTGGTCGCGGTTGCAGCGGCTGCACCCCTGGTACGCCATCCGAGCGAGTTGACCTCGCTGTTATACACCCACGGAACTTTGGCAAAGCTTGTTCCGTAAAAGAAGTAGTATAGGAAGAACATAGCCGTTGTAACGTTGCCCAACTGCAGAGCATTAGTCTCTTTCCTTACAAGCAGGACTTTGTTAGAGTCTGTCATGAACTTACAATCTTCTTCCTTGAGGGATCTTGTTCGGCCGCGTGCAGGCACATAGAAGCAATTAAGTAGCAACTTCCCATTGTAGTGGCACCGTACAGCATAAGTTTGCGTCGGCCCACCATATCGATGACGATCAAGCAACAGAACGCCGCACCAAGGTAGATGGTGCCGTTGACTGCTGTCAGGAGACGACTCATCTGTTGATCAAAACCAACACTTTGCTGTAGCAATGTAGGGAGATAGTATCCTAGAGCGTTGACGCCAGAAAATTGCTGCATAAACTGCGTTCCGCACGAGAGAAGAAGCCGACGGAAGTTCTGAGTCTTGTCACGGCACATAAGCACATCCTTGACAGGAACCCTGTCCTTCCGCTCTAGCGTGATAGCTGACTGGATTGATAGGAACTCAGCAGTTACCTCCTGATCGTGTATAGTTGCATTCTTGCTGGTAAGCCTGGCAATAACCTTGAGAGCCTCGTCGTGGCGGTCCTGGAGGAGTAGCCAGCGCGGAGACTCGGGTACGAATAGGAGAGTGATAGCAACAACGATCGGGAAGATAAGTTGGAACCCAAGGGGAAATCTCCACTGCAAAGCACCACCCTGGAAGTATAAACCGTAGTTCATCCAGTTGGCGAGGCAAAATGCTGCAGTGTTGCAGAGAGATCCCACGACGACGAGTTTGCCACGAATGCTGGGCTTAGAACACTCCGCTTGGTACACAGGGCAAGTTGACGATGTCAAACCTGTTGAAGGAGTTTTGGTCAGCATGCAGAAGTACCAGAGGTATTAGGAATAGTGGCTTACCCATTCCAAAACCATTGATGATACGACCAACAATCATCTGAGGCAAATGCCACGAAACAATTTGAAGAATTGCACCAACAGCATTGCATATAAGGCCAATAAAGATAGTCTTCTTACGGCCAAGCCTGTCTCCGAAAGTAAAGGCAGTGATTGCCCCAAAGAAAGCACCGAGCTGTGTAGAAAGAGTTGTTAGCATATCTCTCACAATGTATTTGACCGAGCTTAGCACTGACAGAGAAGCAACTTGATGTGATGCCCGAGATATTCGCTTTATTCGTCTCGGGGAACCATTTCTTGAAGTCAGCAGAGATCAAGACACCTGAGAAGACACCCTGGGATATGTTAGTTGACGGCGTTTTGAGTTGTCATAAGACGGGTTTCTGCTCACTTGATCATAGCCGAACCAAGACATGGATGCTGGGGTAGAGTCAGCCTATAACTTTCTCCTGAGGACACTCTCCAGCTTACCGGCGTTGACGACCGTGATGCAGACAATCAGCCATGTGCCGCTTAGACGGTCACTGAGACCCGCCATCTTGTTAAGATGACTGAGAGGAAACGGATGTAATGGTTGAGGAGAAGAGATGCGTGTCGGGTTTGAGAGAGGAAAAGCCACTGCCGTCGTTGAACGAGTCAGTTGTTCCGCACGATGCCGTCCAAAACAACTTCTGTTGGCGAGGCTGGAGACCTTGAGATTATATATCCAAGTCAGCAGTCTTCAGGAGAACAACTTGACCCTGTGACCATGCAATCTAAAGAGATCTAGGTCAGATTCGCCTGACCCAGATCCTGGAGGAGGTATCATCTTGGCCGGTTATTCGGATACGGGGTTTGGGGAAAGCGTTCCACGACAGTGGAGATGGGATTTTAGTGCCTCACTAAAAGATGGGGGACAGGCGAGAAATTACACTCCACGGGGTTGGAACTGCCAGGATGTGAGGTCTTTCAGAAAGCCCAAACCTTGACTAGTGGCAGGCCAGTGCTCCTCTCGGGGCTGAGCGGCAGACAAGTCCGCAGTGAGGGTAAGCGAAGGATACGGCCAAGTGAGACTAGCTCCATAACGCGTATACATTTGCACTAACGCTGACCTCTGTCTCACTGTCTTGTTGCTGTTCTAAACCGCAATTCTGAATTGATTACTCTTTTCAGAATCACTGAAAGACTGTTTTCATTTTTTTATTTAAAATGCAATTAATGAAGAACAAGGGACTTGACTGTTCCTAGGAGCGTGCCTCGCTATCATATTTGTTGGAGATAAAGTAGTAGTGTTAGTAGTTATTTGGCTAAGGTTCCACCATGGAAAGGGGGGATGGGCGGCAGTGGAGCCATGCGCGATTCGTGAGCATCATAGCATGCGAGAGTGCATTAGTCGCGGCTTAAGCCTCGCAGCCATCTTGACGTGTGCCTCCGATATCGAATGATGATCTTCTAGCTCAGAAAGCGAGTCGTAACTGTCCAAAAGAGGATATGCTACTTTCCTACCGTTACAATTGACTGCCTCAAAGAGCTGAACTTCAGACTCAGGGACATTGTGGCCAAATACAGGACAAGTCGCTAGCTCGCCTACAACAGTCTTCTACTATCGCCGACTCTGTCTACCATGGCTACGCAACCGTAAGAATCCCGGAACGCATGCGCAGCGTCTTCATGAGTGCTTATAGATAATCCAGGGGATATGTGCTCGTAACAGGAGCAACAGGCTTCATCGGAGCTCATGTCGTTGACAACTTGCTTGCCAGAGGGCTGAAGGTGCGAGGTGCAACAAGATCATTAGGCAAGGGTCAAGCTATGCTTAAGGCCCGGCCTCAATATGCTTCTCAACTCGACTTCGTGCAGATTGACGATTTTGAGAAACTTGGTGTTTTCGAAGAGGCCGTGAAAGGCATTGATGCAGTAATTCATGTCGCAAGTGTAAGGATAAGCTCGATCCAAAATCTTCAGAGTCCTATATTGACCTTTCTCAGCCATTTACATATGATACGAAAGACAACGAAAAGGAGCTCATAATTCCAGCCATCAATGGTGTTCGATCAATTATGGAAGCCGCTGCAGCTACTACTAGCATTACAAGAGTCGTTATCACATCGTCATTTGCTTCGGTGCTCGACGTGAACCGGAAAGCACCTCCTTATTTCACATATACAGGCAGTGATTGGAATCCACTTTCCTACGAGGAATCTGCCGACCCGGCTACTAGTGCCGTGATAGCATACCGTGGAGCGAAGAAGTTTGCTGAGTTAGAAGCTTGGAAGTTTATCGAAGAGAAGAAGCCACACTTCGATATTGTCACTCTGTGCCCGCCGATGACCTTTGGCCCTGTAGTTCACCCTGTGAACGGCGTTGCAGCATTGAACGAATCGAATGCAATGCTGTGGAAAATTGCGAGTGGCGCGCAACCGTTGCCTGTGGCCCGCGTGCCATTCTGGATTGACGTGCGTGATTTGGCTCAGGCTCACGTGGAAGCACTTGTTCGACCAGAGGTTGGGGGGAAAAGATATGTGCCGGCTTCGCCAGAGCGCTTCTCTTACGGGTTAGCCGCCAACATTATGGCTGATAATTTCGAATGGGCGAAGGGTCAGGTGGTACAGGAAGAGCAACCCATTGATGAATCTCATGGTCTAGATGGCGAGACTGCCGCTAAAGAGCTCGGGTTGGACTACAAGACCTTCAAGCAGACCGTGGTGGATTTAATAACGCAAGCGGTGGAGATGAGGGACACGAGTAGTTAGAAGCTTTCATAGTCAATGGAAAGCATGTACGATACGTTAGTACTTGGTATCTTATCTCTTCAACCTTCCCTCAACGCATGCACCAGGCACGCCAAGAACCCTCCAAGTTTTGACAAGCTCAAGTCCTGCAGCCTCAAGCATGGAACTGAACCCTGCTTCAGTTCGCTCTTTACCACCCATTGTCATCACTGCTTGATCAAGAACAGCCGCAGGGAAGTCGGCCTCGCCAACACGAGCTGGAAGAACCATTTCACAGATTAACACGCGGGACTCTGGTGACATCGAAACAGCCAGGCTCTTGAGAATCTCAATGCCGACACTATCTGCATAATCGTGAAGAATCATACGCATGAAATATGCCTTTGCGCCTGTTGAAGTTAACAGTCAGTTGAGTATTATCTGAGGAGCTACACGCAATACTAACCTTTGATAGGATTTGGGGTCATAAAATCGTGTGGCATGAAGCCAGTGTCGGATGGTAGAACACCGCTTGACTTGGCCATATCGATGACGTCCGGACGTTCTTGCAGATAGCAAGACCTCGGTGTGAGCTCAGGGTGGGCGTCTAATATTCTCTTCAGAACAACACCATGGCCCCCTCCCACATCGACAAGTTCTACGACCCCCTTCTCAGTTTCCTCGGGGCTATTCTTCAGACTGCTGAAATCGAAATGTCCGACAGGTGGGATAGCGACATCGATGCCTGCCATTCCGGTCTGGAAGGCCTGTATCTTCTCAGGGTTCTGCGCCATGATGGCCCAAACTGGGGTTCCTTCCTGCTTATGGTAGGCCGTGTATGGATTGCGAAGGGGATCGTCGGGCTCATGCAGGCCGTGAGTGCCAACCCACTCGTGAAAATTATGCATGTTCATAAACCACTCATCGTACCTAGGGCCCATTAGCTGAAAGGTGATCTGTGATACAGGCAACCACAACTCACATGGCCAAAAACAGATGTCCAGGGCTCGGGCTCGTCATGATATACGCCTTCGAGAATTTGGTATGAAGGTAGTCTCCTCCATCCGAGCGAGTCTGGTCGAGGAAACCAGCAGCCACTTCCGTACGGCAACGTCAGAAATGGCCAGTCGCCGAGATGATACAATATAGACGACATTCGTTACATGGAATTAAGCTTACCGAGTACTCGCCCCATGCGCTCTGCCGTAACCAATCAGAACGACGATCAATCACATTTGGGGTACGGTCTTACCTAGAAGTGAATCTTGGACCCCAGTTGCCTTGGACAGGTCCTGCAGTGAGATGGGACCGTCTTGGGGAATTGCATCAAGAACCTTGTGCTTCATGAAAGTCCGTACAGCGATGAGCTCGGCCATCTGCAAGGAGACGTCAGTTTCTGATTTGGCAATTGAGTTTGGTAACGCGTCGGACATTAAGACCGTGATAGTTGGGCTCCATGTCTGGAGTAATCAATGCTCTGCTGAGCTGCCTCGCCTTGGCGATCAGCTGGACTCTTGACATGTACCCATTGAGGTCGGGAGCATCACTGTATGACTGAGCAACAGCTGTTAGCTCTCCTACAAGGTTCTGCACTTCACTCGATGTCGGTACTGCCATGGCTACGACGATGTCTGCGACCAGACAAATCTTTCAAAGTCACAATTTATTTGACGATGCAGCTAGGTGTTTGAAGAGACACATGGAGCATCGCGCCACATGCCACATCGGAGAGCTCCCACATCTCCGGTGGTGCGGGGCTTATCTCCAGAGCTACCTCAAGCAAGTGCGAAATCAACATTTGCTTTCCACTACCCCTGACTTTCTAGGACCGACCCGACATGGCCCTGCCTTGCTAGTTCAGTCAATAGATCCCAAAACAGGCAAGCCATAATTAGTGTGAGAGCCAGCTAAAACCACAGGGCCTTAGCAAGGGCCGCAGGTTGCTGCACACAGCCACGCGTTCTTGGATGCCGGCGTTGTTAGTCAACATTCACGCGTTGCACGGCGCTCTTTGTTCGATGCCCACCCTAGCCCCTTTGGCGCTGGTGAAAGCCCGCGTCACGGCAACGCCCGCAAAGTTTAGAATGGCTTACGAGGCCGATGCAAAACACGAGGTACAACTGAGGAAGCTCAAACGAACGTTTGTCAACAATCTCCTCTGGGCCCTTTGAGAGGCGTGAAACGCTAGAAACCAAGAAGAAGAGGAGGAGCTTTGCGTGCGATGTGGTGGGCAGGCGGCCAATGTAAAGAAACGCTTCTGAAGTTCTGAGCCGATGCTAGTTCATTTAACGAATATCCCGTGTAAGCAATGAAAGATGGACTAGCATTGTGCATTTCGGCCCACAATTCACCGTCCCGGCGCCATGGAGCGGGGTCTGCTCGGAGCCACTTCTTGAGTCTAGGCTAGCCCAGCCAAAGGTTTGCGCCTCCCCGTCAATCCTGATCACAAATCTGCTGTCGCGCAGGAGAGGAGATTGACCGTTCACCGCTTTGCACGATCACAAGAGCCGTCCTCAGAATCGCCAGGCTGGTCCGTAGATTTTGGTGACATTGATGTGCGGTGTCCAGACGGCGACGCGCGATATCATGGACCCAGACGTGCCCCCTGGACCCTCCGACCCCCGGCCCAGTGAATCATCGCAGCCGTCATCCAGGATCGAGCCAGACACATGGACCGATGACGACGACGAAGGCTACGCTCAGTCCCTGTCCACCAGCTATCTGACCTCTATAGCAACTGATATCAGGAGAGGAGTTGTGGAGAATGGCCGTACTTACGCTGCGTATGGCATGCACAAGCCGTGGCTGCCTGTCGACGATGAAGAGGTGCGCGAAGCGCGACTTAAAGTCCTTGGCCAGCTACTGACCGCACTAGCTCGACCGTAATGACATGCAGCATTGCAAATTTGTGCTCTTGATGGACAATGAGTTACATCTGGCACCAATTGTCGAAGATCCACACAGGATCTTAGACCTCGGGACGGGCTCAGGTATCTGGGCTATTGATATAGCAGACAAATACCCCTCCGCCGCCGTTCTCGGTGTCGACACGGCGCCTGTCCAGCCGAACACAGTCCCCCCAAATTTACAGTTTGAGATCGATGATGTTGAAGCAGACTGGCTATGGCCAGAGAACAGCTTTGACTTCATCTACGCCCGCGAACTCATCATGGCTGTTCGAGACTGGCCACGTCTCACGAGGCAAGCTTATTCGCGGCTAAAACCAGGAGCCTACTTTGAATTAGGAGCTTCCGTACCAATATTCACCTCGGACGACGGCACGCTACCTCCAGGCACAGCATATGTCGAGATGGCGCAGCTCTATTTCGAGATGTCCGAGCGAATCGGTGCGTCGGGGAAGGAGCCATTGAAATGGAAGCAGTATATGGAAGAAGCCGGTTTCGTCAACGTCGTTGAGAAGGTCCTAAAGATCCCAACCAATCCTTGGCCAAAAGACCCGAGGTTAAAGAAAGTTGGCGCATTCGAGCTGTCCCATTTCCGCGACACAATTTCGAACATCTTCTCCCGCGGATACACGGAGATACTTGGAGGTGACCCGACGTACTTTCAAGTCTTACTTGCAAAGGCTAGACAAGAGGTGTTAAATCGAGACATGCATAGTTATGTGCCATTGTACGTGTTTGTTCCCCAACCGTCGGTACCAATCTAATCAAGGCTAGCTACGTTGTATATGGCAAAAGACCTGAGAGTAGTGGTTCACAGCCACATGCTCATCATGTACCTGTATCAGGGAGCCGTGAAAACTCTGCTGAAAACTAGCGAGTCAAACGGGAGCAGCGAAACAAGGTTTGATTAAGCAGGTACGGCCCTGACGCCCAAGTGGCTTTTAGGCCACACTTACAGTGTCGAGTAATCATGTATATGTGAAAATGACGGGAACGGGTAAGCAGGCGTTTATGGTTGTATATAGGTAAGGTGATCAGGAGAAAGGGAGTAGGGAATCCAATTGCGCATGCAACTGGGCAGTTCAAGCATCTCGTTTACATGATGTCTTGGAAAAATTCTTTCATGTCCTCCATAGCTGGGACGGTGTTATGTATAAAACAAACAATAGGAGTCATCTTTGACCTTGATGAATATTTGGCAATGCACGAAACTCGATACCATTGTATTCTACTTCCATCAACCATATGCTATGATCAACAAGTTCTCAACTGAGGATGGATTTCATATGTTGGTGCCTTTAAGAGAAATGCTCAAGCCCGTTTCGTGCCCGTGCCCTTTGGCACCCTGAAAACCCAGTACAAGCCCATAGCAGCTGCGATATTCACAATGATGTACACCCATAGAAGGCCGAAGTTCCTCCACCTATCGTCATAAAAGATCTCAAATCGTGCTAAGAACTCATTCGTGGAGGCAAGTGAGCAATAGCTGCACAGATTACTCGAATCCGGGTTGAGTAACGCACCCCCGGCGACCTTGATGTAGGGCGCGAGATACTCGTTGCAGGTCATGTTTCCGGGCGGCTGCATGTATAGTATCTCATTTTCAGCGCAAGTGACCTTTGAGCCCGCAACAGCCGTAGACATCACCCCGCTTATCAGATATGTTGCAGGAGAAACATGGTACATGAAACTCCAAAAGCCGGGCAGGTCTGCTCGAGGGACGCCGACGCTGTAACAATGTCAATCCGTTGCGCTTTCAGATCAGGTTGTCTTGCCTCGGAGGCAGGCAATGGATGACTTACCCGCAAAATGCAATACAAAGCATCCACATCAAACTTGCCAGGACACCCGCCGTGGGAGGTATCTCTATCCAAGTTATGACGAAGTGGGAGAATGTGCTGGCAAACAGCATGAACATCCACAAAAAGAGAAAGACAAGGAAGCCTCGGATATGTACGTCGTCTGCAGTAGTGTTTTGTACAAATCCTACAGGATAGTACCAACAAAAATACATGATAGCCGCCATGAGACTATTCCAAGCAATCTCAACAAGAATGTTAGATAAAACATAGGCTATTAAGAGCACATTAGTTGCTTGTCGCTTCATGAGACTGGAGTCTAGTTGAGACTGGAGTCTAGTAAAGACTAACTTGTCCATCTGTATATCTTCGAGGGCCGCTCCCGAGCTTCATAGAGATCTCGCTGAGGCACGAACATTGGCATGATTTGCTCATTGATATTGCCGAATAAGACCATATACATAAAAATAGCATACAGCTGATTTTGAAGGCCCTGAATACTATTGTGTGCCTTGAAGCTGAAACCGAGATAGAGTGACTAAGGCAATGCAATCAGTCTTCGTCTAAGAAATACAGTCTTGTTAGCACTTACAGACAATACGATCAAAGTAACTTTTGACCAAATATAGGTCGGGGATCTCCAGAAGTGTTTTGCGGTGCGGATGAGAACCTCCCAGAATTGAATCCAAAAGGACGCGACGAACTCTTGATGTTGAGACATGTCGTCCTTAACCTGCTCATCTAAAGTCGCCGGCTGGATCACAGCTAGAGCTTTCAGTCGAGACAACTCTTGTTTGGCAACCCGATACTCTGGTGAGTCTTGCCAGGCATGATGCCAATCAGTCCCATGGAATCCATCCGCAGGGGGTTTGATAACCTCTAGCATCCACTCTGCAGGGTTGGCGTCAATCGGACAGGATGGTGCTCCTCTTCTCTCAAAATACTTAATGAGCTCCGATGATCGTTGACCCAAATCTTCCAAAGTCAACAACTTGCAAAATTCTGTATCATGACGATGACTTACCGCCAAAATAAACCGTTTTTCCTCCAGGTGCAAGTAGCAGAAGCCGGTCAAAACGCTGAAAGAGTATTGCTGACGGCTGATGTACTGTGCACAGAATTGCCTGCCCACTTCTGGTAAGCTTTTCTACAAGGTCGCAAATTGCCCAGGAAGTCTGTGAGTCTAGTCCAGAGGTAGGTTCATCCAGGAAGAGTAGTAATTGAGGACGAGCAGCG